TGGCCGCCGCGTCGCCCTGCCCTGCCTGCGCGCCGCCCTACTGGACGCCGCACCGCCCTGCCTTGCCCGCGTGCCGCCCTGCTGGCCGCCGCCCTACTCTATGCGCTTCCCTAGCGCTTGCGCGCCGCCTTGCTCGTCGCGCCGTCCTTGCTTGGGTGCTGCCCTGCTGCTCGCGTGCCAACCTGCTCTGCCTGCTATGGCTACTCTCAGCGTTCTCACATTCGATCCTGAGGGCCGTCCGATGCAGTTCGATACGTGGCTCAGCTGTTCCTACTGAGCGATTCTAGAGACGGCGTTTTGTTGTTTGACCACACGTCTGGCGCCTCTCTCACCCCTCCTGACATAGCTGACAGTGCGACTCGCTCACATTGGCTTACCCGTGATGCTGCTGCTCGCCTAGCGGTTCGCAACCACTTGCCGTTAGCCGAATGACGCTGTAGTCGCTCGTTACTCCTCCCCTTCCATTGGTGCTCCAGGCCGCCATATAATGCCCTACATGTTCCTTGAGTTGTCTGCCTTTGCCACAGTCGCCGACCTCATCACCCACCTTCGCACTAGTGACACTCGCTAGCGCGCCACGCTTCCAACCAAGTTTCCAGACAAGAACCCCCCCCCCCCCATGTACATCACTCTCCAATTCATCGTCCCCGGCCTCCTCGACTCTCTTAGCGCAGTCAAGGACCTCCTTCTTGCCCTTGACCCCACAGACCTCACTGTCGATCTGCTCGAGAAGCACCTCCTTGCAGCTGAGACCAGCATAGTCACTGTAGGAGCTTCTCGTGGCACTCCTCGCACTCCCTTCTTTGAGGAGTGTTCCCCCTCCCCCCTTGTCCCCTCTGTTGTTTCTGCTGCTGCTGTTGACTTCCTTCATGCTGAGGAGGTCGGGGTTGCGTCTGCTCCTAGTGGGAGGCGCCGCAGCGGTAGGGGCAAGGGAGGCCAGGGTGGTGGGGTTGGCAGTGGGGGAGGCGGTGGTGGGGGCGGTGGAGGTGGTGGAGGTGGCGGTGGTGGCGGAGGGAGTGATGGTGGGAGTGGAGGTGCTGGTGGCGGCGGTGGTGGCGGCAGTGGGAGTGGTGGTGGCGGCAGTGGGAGTGGTGGCGGCGGCAGTGGTGGCGGTCGGGGTGGAGGTGTTCAGAGGGGAGGTTCTGGCGGTGGCCAGAGGGAGCAGCAGCAGCGTCCGAGCGAGACCCCTACGCCCTAGCAGCTTTGTGAGTGGTTTGCTCAGCGTGGGGCGTCTGGGGGTAGTGTTCGCTGCCCATTTGTCATTTGCACAGGTTGCCGCGCTGGTCAGACATGCGGGAAGTTTCACACACAGCACCGCTGCTTCTCCCGACTTGACGATGCCTGTCGCATAGAGTTTCCTGATGTGATTGAGCTCCCCCGGTGGCTAGAGCTGCTTAGTCGGAGTCTTGATTATGATGCTATCCCTGCTGCCCTATATGCATTGACCATTAGTGCTGAGGGTGACTGTTACATGTGTGTGCCGCCCGACCCAGGTATAGAGGCTGCTGCTCTAGGTGCTACTAAGTCTGCTCTCCCTGGTACTGCGCCTGCTGAGACCTTGCACACCTTCACGGTTGACTCAGGTGATTCCCGCTATTTCTTTTGCGACATCACCACAGTCACACCACTCCCTGCACCTGTTGCAATCAGACTGCCTGACCCCTCAGGGGGTCCAGTTCTTGCCCGTTTCTCCACTATTCTTCCGTGTTCGGCGTTTCCGTCCGACTCACTTTCAGGTCTTCACCTCCCCTCGTTCTCTACGAACTTGGTGAGTACCGCTGCCCTCCAGGATGCGATGGTCACTACCACCACTCCAGGGGGTCAGCGTGTGTCGATCTGCACGTGTATACGGACGGGCCGTCACCTGGCCACGTTCACCCGTCGGCCTGGGTCAAGACTGTACACACTGACTACTGAGCATCCTCAGGTAGCTGCACCTGCGTCCGCGTCAAGTCAGCTTGTGCCCCCCTGCTCGTGTCGCGCCCTGTCGCACCAGACTCTCCTTTGGCACCACTGCCTTGGTCACCCCTCCCTGCCATGCCTGTATGGCATGCACTCCCGTCTCTTTGTCTTTGGTCTTCCCATTTCTCTGCCTCCCCTCCCGCCCTCCCCTGCCCCTCCCTGCCTTCCCTGTGTCGAGGGTCGGCAGCACGCCGCTCCTCACTCCTCCTCGTTTCCCCCAACGACTGCTCCCCTGCAGACTCTCCACATGGAAGTGTGGGGCCCAGTCCGCATCCGTGGACAGGACCGCGAGCGAAACTTTCTACAGGTTGTTGACGACTACTCGCGTTACACCACTGTCTTCCTTGATGTTTTGATCCCTTGGATCCGCGCTGTCCGTCTCCAGCTCCGCGAGCGGCCCCACACGGACCTTCCTGTCCTGCGTCTGCACTCTGACAGAGGTGGTGAGTTCGCTTCCGACCTCTTGCGGGACTTTTGTCGTGGGGAGGGCATTCGCCAGTCATTCACGCATCTGGCCTCTCCGCAGCAGAATGGGGTTGCTGAGCGCCGCATTGGCTTAGTCATGGAGGTCGTTCGTACCTCCATGATCCATGCGGCTGCTACCCATTTTCTGTGGCCGTTTGCGGTCCAATATGCTGCGCATCAGCTCAACCTCTGGCCCCGTATCTCCTTGCCGGAGGCCTCGCCGACACTGCGTTGGACGGGAGAGGTTGGCGATGCGTCGGTGTTCCGGGTTTGGGGATCTCGTACAAGCTCTCCTCCTGCACCATTCCCTGTGTCTTCCTTCGCTTTCCCCCTGTCGCGCCTGGCTGGTAGTTTTACCACCCCACCTCACGCCGAGTCTTGCCTTCTTAGGATGTCACGTTTGACGAGTCGGTTCCCTTTTACCATCTCTTCCCCTACCGCACTGCCCCTCTCCCTCCCCCGCCGCTCTTCCTCACATCAGGTCCCCCTCCGGTAGACCCCCTCCCCCCTCAGGGTCCTGCTCCCTCAGGTGTGTCTCAAGTAGACCCACTCCCCTTGGCTGAGCCTGTCGAGGTCGCTGTCGACTCTGGTGCTGCTGGGGGTGGTGCTGCTAGGGGTGCTGCGTTTGGGGGTGCTGAGCCTGCGCGTACGAAGCCTGGGGGTGCTGAGCCTGGAGTTGCTGAGTCTGAGGGTGTGGAGCCTAGGGGTGCTGATTCTGAGCGTGTGAGGCCTTGGGGTGCTGCTCTATACCATGTGAAGAAATGAGGAAATGAATGAACTAGCGAACAGGTGGGTACAAGTAGGAAAACCTAAAAGTGTTGTACCCCATATTGTCTACCCCACTACAGCCTACACGGACTATAACATATGAGTTTGACACCAAGAAATCGCACGCAAGCCGAAATGTCAAGCTCTTGGCCAGCCCGACCGCATGCATCTGGATGCCCCTTGAAGTGCCAGTTTCTAGCGGGAAAAGAACCTGCCCTGTTAGGGCAGCCGAACAAGTGGTGCATATTGAAAATGCTTTCTTTCTTATTCTTATCAATTGGCATCGTTCTTATTACACATGGCTTATTACGACATTTGCATCGACATTGAACACAAATAGTGCATACTAATAACACTAGCTACGATGTACCCTATCCAAGTGGCATTAGCAAAGCGGTTTACGCTGGGGTGGGTGGTGGGAATGTTGACTGAGCCGTTTGAAAATCGAGAAACGTGGGTGGAGGGAAATGAACTCCAACCCACAGTTTTTGTAGTTGGAGAAGGCGTTTAGCGCGCTTGGACGATGCCAATTGTGCAGTACAAGCAGCTTCGCTTTCACAATACACAATTTTGAAAAACACTATGTGTGTTTAAAAACTATAATAAGGGCATGTTCCTACGCTCTTATCAGGCAAACCTCTTGTCAGCCTTGCCTGGTAAAAGTAGCGAGGGTTTGTGGGTTTAGGGAATTTTCAGTGTGTTTTGACGTGAGCTTGATAAGAGGTTGGCCTGATAAGGGGCCGTAGGAACATGCCCTAACTCCACTTTCATGCACCTCACCCTCGCGCATGACTGCCCGCTGAAACCACTCCCCTTTTGGTTTTGTATCTCTGCCCGGCGCCAAAAAATGACTTGTATCAAATTGTGTCAGCCAATAAAACGCATACAACTGTACCTCTCAGTCAGTCGCGCAGTGTCGCGGTACATCTACAATTTGTGACGCGAGGTTGGGCAAATGTGCAAATGCGACTCGCGAAAACTGGAATTGAACCCTAAGGTGTTCCAACAATTGACTAGAAATATGTACATACCGTACGGTAATCAAATCACGCATGTTTGGACAAGCCACTATGGTAATTGCAAGAAGAGAATAAGAGTGCCGATCTAGCATGGCAAAGCCTGACAAGCACTCATCCGATCTAAACTTCCCATTACTATTCACAATCATCTTCCAGCTTATGCTACCAGACAGCAAGCCGGTGCTTCTAATGAATGCAGCGGAAAGAGAGGAAAAACATCCCAAGGTATTCGCTGTAATAGTGGAGAAAACACACACGGAGGACACATATTGCTTAAGATTGGGTGCGAGCAAGAATGGGAGAACTGGGATGGAAATTTTGTTGAGGCAAGGAGATTTAATGTGTGCACGTGTGTGTGTGTGTGTGTGTGTGTGTGTGTGTGTGTGTGTGTGTGTGTGTGTGTGTGTGTGTGTGTGTGTGTGTGTGTGCGGGCGTGCGTGCGCGCGCGTGTGTGTGTGTGTGCGTGTGTGTTTGTGTGTGTGTGTGCATAGATGTGGTGCATTTGCGTATGTGTGTGTGTGTGTGTTTGTGTACGTGCATGTGTGTGTGTGTGTGTGTGTGTCTGTGTACGTGCATGTGTGTGTATGTGTGTGGTGTGTGCACGCATGCATGTATGCGAGTGTGGTGTGTGTGCGCAGCACACCCATACCCATCGTACGCACACACATTCATGTGTGCGTGGGGGGGAACAGGTGTGTGTGTGTGCATGTGCGTGTGTGTGTGTGTGTGTGCGTGTTTGTGGGGGTGTGTGCACGTATGCTGAAAGAAATAGAGATCGCGACTCACGGGATGGTCCACACGCCGATCTGAGGTGCACCCGCCAAGCTGAACAATGAATTGCACGCTCCGGCACACCCATACCCATAGTACGCACACACATTTGTGCAATTTCCCATCCCACCCGGGGCCGGCTCTATGCGGGTGTAGGACAGGACATCAGAGGCGCGGGGGAGAGTGATGTCGGTGCAGCCATCCCAGTGGACCCGCATAGTGGATATGAAGCGAGTTATGGTGAAGTTGGGGTGATCATAGAAGGTGAAGCTGGTGGAGGAGACGGTGGGGGTGGCCCCTGAAAAGGATTGGAACAGAGGGGAGAAGGAAGCTAATACAAACAACATATGCTCTTACACCAGTTTAGGGTTCATTCTGCTCTCGAGGTTATTCACACAGCACATGCTCTTGTGCATGCAGATATCAAGTCCAGGGGGGAGTATCCACACCACACACACTACTGCACTCACTCTCTACACACACACAACACAAGCACTTGCGTTGCACTCACACATACATACTGTGCACTCACACATACATACCGTGCACCCACACATACATACCGTGCACCCACACATACATACCGTGCACCCACACACATGCACCTTGCACTTACACATCCATACCATGCACTTACACATCCATACCATGCACTCACACATCCATACCATGCACTTACAAATCAGTTGGCTTACACTGACACACATACGTTGCTTGCATGCATCCGGCGCTGGTCATGCCATAACCAGGAGGGCACATCGACACAACGCACACTCCTGCACTCACACATGCATACATCACATGCTCTTGTATGCTCACACATACGCACCTTGCACGCATCCAGTGCTGGTCATGCCGTAACCAGGAGCGCACATGCAGTAAGAAGGCCAGGTCGATGGGAGAGGCGTGCACACAGCTCCTGCAGGGCAGGCCCCACACGAAGCAGGTCCTGTGGGGAGGGCAGGAGGAGCAGGAGGGGGGTGAGTTGGTGAGCTGACAATGTGGTGTTGTGTGTGCAATAGCAGACTTTCAAGTGGCCCTTGCAGGGCATGCCCCACACGTGGCAGGTCCTGTGGGGAGGGGAGGAGGAGCAGGAAACAGGGAGGGAAAGGGGGCGTTAGAGTGCAGCACTGGTAGTGTGCAGCACACTTGGAGAGAGCAGACTATCAAGTGGCACCTGCAGGGCATGCCCCACACGTGGGGGGTCTGTGGGGAGGGCAGGAGGAGCGGGGGAGAGAGGGGGGGATCGTGTGGGGTGAGCTGACGATGTGGTGCTGTGTGTGCGGTAGGCCAGAGCAGTCATTCGAGAGAAGACTGTCGAGTGGGCCCTGCAGGGCATGAGGAGGGCAAGAGGACCGGGGGGGGGGGAAGGGGGGGGGGTGTTGTGAGCTGACAATAATACAGCAGACAGGGCCAGAGAGGTGAGAATCACGTACCGAGAGGTGAGAAGTGGTGAGAGGTGGGAAGTGGTGAGAGGTGAGAAGTGGAGAGAGGTGAGAAGTGGTGAGAGGTGAGAAGTGGTGAGAGGTGAGAAGCGGTGAGAGGTGAGAAGCGGTGAGAGGTGAGAAGTGGAGAGAGGTGAGAAGTGGTGAGAGGTGGGAAGTGGTGAGAGGTGAGAAGTGGAGAGAGGTGAGAAGTGGTGAGAGGTGAGAAGTGGTGAGAGGTGAGAAGCGGTGAGAGGTGAGAAGCGGTGAGAGGTGAGAAGTGGAGAGAGGTGAGAAGTGGTGAGAGGTGAGAAGTGGTGAGAGGTGAGAAGTGGTGAGAGGTGAGAAGTGGTGAGAGGTGAGAAGTGGTGAGAGGTGAGAAGTGGTGAGAGGTGAGAAGCGGTGAGAGGTGAGAAGTGGTGAGAGGTGAGAAGTGGTGAGAGGTGAGAAGTGGTGAGAGGTGAGAAGTGGTGAGAGGTGAGAAGTGGTGAGAGGTGAGAAGCGGTGAGAGGTGAGAAGTGGTGAGAGGTGAGAAGTGGTGAGAGGTGAGAAGTGGTGAGAGGTGAGTATTGGTGAGAGGTGAGAAGTGGTGAGAGGTGAGAAGTGGTGAGAGGTGAGAAGTGGTGAGAGGTGAGAAGTGGTGAGAGGTGAGAAGTGGTGAGAGGTGAGAAGTGGTGAGAGGTGAGAAGTGGTGAGAGGTGAGAAGTGGTGAGAGGTGAGAAGTGGTGAGAGGTGAGAAGTGGTGAGAGGTGAGAAGTGGTGAGAGGTGAGAAGTGGTGAGAGGTGAGAAGTGGTGAGAGGTGAGAAGTGGTGAGAGGTGAGAAGTGGTGAGAGGTGAGAAGTGGTGAGAGGTGAGAAGTGGTGAGAGGTGAGAAGTGGTGAGAGGTGAGTATCACGTATTTGCACACACAGGTCACTGCACCCGCAGCGTCCTTCACACATGCATGGTTGCCGTCACAGATAGAGCACGGCTCTGCAGGGGGGAGGTGTGAGAGAGGGGGGCACGAAGTAAGGGGCTTTTGAGTCAGTTATAAAAAGCAGCGTCCTTCACACATGCATGGTTGCCGTCACAGATAGAGAACGGCTCTGCAAGTGGGGAAGGCGTGGAAGGGTGGGTGCGTGGAAGGTTGGAGTTTTGTTTGATGCTTCAAAAGTCATGGCGATTTCTGATGCAAGGGGAAGAACAAAGCAGCACATGAAAGAGCATGCACACAGCAACACATGGCAGCACACGAAGTCAGAGTCACACACACAGGACGCCACACCTGCAGTGGTCTGTGTGAGGGCAACCCATAACATGGAACATGGAATTTCACAAGGCATTGCACCCACCAATGCACGTCCTGCCATTGGCCTGCAGCACGAAGCCTGCGTCACACACACAGGCCGCCACTCCACCGCTGTTCACAACGCACGTGCTGTTGGCGCTGCAGGCCTTGACCGCACAGGGACCTGGGAGGGAAGGGGGTGATGGAGGGAAGTTAGGCGAGTGTGAAAGAGGAGGGAGTGTGGGAAGGGACACAGGATGCTACCCCACTGCTGTTCACAACGCATGTGCTGTTGGCGCCCCAGACCTTCACCACACAGGGACCTGGGAGGGTGGTTATGCATGAACGGAACGGGAAAGGGGAGAGGGGGTTGTAAGGCCAGCAGCACCTCATTACTCGCCAACACCACACCAAAATAATTACCAACAAGGACACAGCTGAGGGAGTGGTAAGGGTACGACCCCACTGGAGAGTAGTTGTTGCTGGTGGTTGGGGTGGGTGGGAGATTTTTAAGACGCCTCAAAAGCCATCACAGCAGCACCCATCAAAGCAGCAGCATATTAATCAGAAACACTGTTGGCACTTACCAATGGGGACACAGCTGAAGGAGTGGTAAGGGTACGTCCCCACTGGAGAGTTGTCGGTGATGGGTGGGGTGGGGGAGACATGCACCCACCAATACAGCAGTAATGCATTACTCACTCACCGTCACAGCAGCACCGCATTACCCGCCAACACCACAACACTCACCAACAGGGACACAGCTGAAGGAGTGGTAAGGGTACGACCCCACTGGAGAATGGGGATGGGAGAGACATGCACAAACAGGCATTGGGGGCAAGCCAGAGGGGCAGAGGGGGAGAGGAGAAAACGTGCATGGGGAAGAGGAGAGACAGAGAAGGAATGCTGTATAACATGCTATTTACCTAATGTAGGACCATTTGAGAAGTAATGCAATCTCAACGAAGAGGAGTTGGTGGTGTGGGCATGGGAGACATGCCCGCACAGGAATTGGGGCGGGGTGTAACGAGGGGGCCAATCATAGAAGCCATGACTCACCTTGACCCCGTTGCAGTGATTCCGGTCCCATTGGAAGCGATTGGCAGCCACGTGGCAGGCCCCTGGCAGCTATCCCGAGTGTAACCATACACCGAGTCGCAGTGACCTCTGAGTCAGTAAACTCGACAAAAGCTGTGATCCCCCCGCACTCACATGACTCCTTCTGCAATGATTCCGGTCCCATTCGAGGCAAGAGGCAGCCACGTGGGAGGCCCCTGGCAGCTCTCCCGAGTGTAACCATACACCAATGGACAGTTACCCGCACCACCCGGAACCCCATTCACACGCCAGAGAGACAAGGCACGCTCGGCAACGGCTGCAGGGATGCTTCTGCAGGAGTTGTATGGCAGGCGCACGGTGTAGGTGGTGGGAGTGATGGTGTGGTTGGTCTGATCGCAGAAGGTGATGCTGGTGGAGGAGGCAGTGGGGGTGGCGCCTGCAAGGGGAGGGGGATATGAGGAAGATAGCTGATTTATACACGCGCATGGTGAAGATGTTGGACGTGATGGTGTAGTTGGGCTAATCATAGAAGGTGATACTGGTGGAGGAGGCATTGGGGCGAATACTTGAGTAGCATGCTATAATTCGATAGACATGCTATTAACGCGAGTTGGGTGTTGGCCTCGTCCTCACTTGGACAGAGCCGACTTTGTGGTCGGGTGCGCGGTAAGTGCAGCCGACTAACTGCAGTGGGCGACGCCGACTTGGGCGAGCAGGTCGACAGAGTTAGTCGACCTGCACGAGGCCAGTGCGAAGCCGCCGACGACGAGGGCCGGCGGCCAACTTCAACTCGGTAGTCGACGAAGGGAGTCGTCGACCAGAGAGGGGCGTTGACTTGGTAACGCCGACATGGGGAAGGTGACTCGGTGCAGTTGGCGAGCAGCCAGTCTGGTCGCCCCGGAGTTGGTCGACTTGTGGAGTGGTTGACTTGGTGAAATCGGCTGGTGGCCGTCGACCTGGGTGGTCGACAAGCACGTACAACTGTAGGTCAATTTCTACCGAGCAAGTGGACGCTGACTTGGTGGCTTCCAGGTCGACCATGTAACCAAGGCGACGAGGTTTTGCGGGGCGTGCGACCGTCGCCCAGGTGGTTCTGGCGAAACCGACCTCAGAGTGGTACCCCGATGTCGACGTGGCTCATTAGGCGCCGCCAACGGCACGTGACCGATTTGTCACCTGCACTATGCACGTAACGGTGCATGTTGCGCCAACCGACTACGAGCACCTGCGAAGTAGGTGCGCTGCTGTCATCCGTAGGAGCAAGGCTAGACAGCCTTGCTGCAGCGTTGGCACGCCGTCGACTTGCAGTGTTGGCAAGCCTCCTTTTTGCAGCGCTGGAGCGGTGCGGACTTTGCAGTGCTAGAACGCGGTCAACCTTGCTACGCTGGAAGTCGACTTGCTTGCATGCTAGGCGGTCTTACTTCTGATGTAGTCAGCTTTGCCACTGTAACTACCATTAATGTTCTCAACTTTTGCAAGTAAAACTTCGCGGTTTTGCCCTGTAAACGCGCAAGTGCTAGAGAACACTAAAGAACGCTACGATCACTCCTAGAACCCGTGCCTTCCTCCGTAGTCATGTTTCCGATGTAAAGGTAACTCTCCGCACATGCCACAATTGGATAGACATGCCACATTTGGAAAGACATGCCATAATTGATAGACATGCCACAATTGGAAAGACATGGCACAATCGGATAGACATGCCACAACTAGATAGACATGCCACAATTGGGTAGACAGACATGCCACAATTGGATAGACATCCACAATTAGATCGACATGCCACAATTGGATAGACATGCCACAGTTGGATAGACATGCCACAATCGGAAAGACATGCCACAAAATGATATGCCACAATTGGACAGTTCGAAAGACATGCCACAATTGGATAGACATGTCACAAAAGGATATGCCACAGTTGGAAGAAAGGACATGCCACAGTTTGAAGAAAGGACATGCCACAGTCAGAAGGCTATGCTACAATTGAAAGGACATGCCAAATATGAAAGCCCATGCCATTGTTGGAATTCCATGCCATTATTGGAAGCCCCTGCCATCATTGGAAGCCCGTGCCATGATTTAGAGGCATAACCTTACCGCTGATGCAAGACGAGCCCCATGCCATAGCCGGGAGGACAGATGCAGTACGGCACATTGCTAGAAGTAACCGTGCATGTGGCTCCTGTAGGGCAGCTCCTACATGTGGTAGGGCCTGGGGAGGTGGGAAGAGGGAGGAGATTAAGAAAGGGAGGAGATGAGGAGGAGCAAGGAGATGAAAGAAAGAGACCAGATAAGGAAAAGGGAGAAAACCAATATTCACGACACAGCACGACAAAAAAACAAAGAAACGGTGCAGGTGGCTCGTGTAGGGCGGTCTCCACATGTGACGGAGCCTGGGGAGGCGGGGAAGGAGAAGAGATGAGGAAGAGTGCAAAAGGTGAAACATCAGATCACAACACACCCTGGCAAAGCATATTATAGCACAAGATGGAACAACAAACACCAACATGGAGCAGCAGAGGAGCACAGAGCTCTCGACAAAACACCAGCGCGGCATCCGAGTTGACCGACACCCCTACACCAACGCGAATGCCGCAGCACAAAGACGAACAAACACACGCACACGAATGAACGCCTTACCAGATTACACCGCTAATATGACCTGACCGTACTGACACATTTGCCGGAGGTGCTCTGATAGCCTATTTTGAGTGGACTAAAAAAGACTGCACCAGCACGTACCAACACATTTGCCGGAGATGCTCTGATAGCCCACCTTGCACACACAGGTTGCACCGCCTGCAGCGTCCCTCACACAGTCAGTCGTGGGATCGCAGATCTTGGTCCCACACGCCTCTGAAGGAGATTAGATGGGAGTAGTACGAAGAGAACACCAAGATAAGAGGTGAATTTGGATCTTGGTCCCACACGCCTCTGCTCTGTGGGAGATTAGACAGGAGTGGTACGAAGGGAACACCAAGAGAAGAGTTGACTTGGGATCTTGGTCCCACACGCTTCTGCGGGAGGACAAAAGAATGGCAAGAAGAAATTCTTGGTACTGACATGGAACGGAGATCTGGACCGGGCATGGGGGTTTGGGAGGGTATGGGAAGAAGAGGCATACATGAGTGAGAGGGAAAGAGACTGAGAAAATGGATGGGAAGAAGAGGAGGGAAAGAGATTGAGAAAATGGATGGAAAGAAGTGGAGGGAAAGAGATTGAGCAAATGGATGGGAAGAAGAGGAGGGAAAGAGATTGACAAAATGGATGGAAAGAAGAGGAGGGAAAGAGACTGAGCAAATGGATGGGAAGAGAGAAAAGAGAGAACGTGGGAGTGGACGTAAGGGAGGGAGCATGAGAAAGCATGATCCACAGTTGCAGACAGCGGCGCACAGCACCACACAGCACCACGCAGCACCATACAGCACCGCACAACACCACACAGGACCACACAGCACCACACAACACTACACAGAACTCACACCACCACACAAAACTACAAAGCACCTCACAGAACCACACAGCAGCACATACCAGTGCACGTGGTGCCGTCAGATTGCAGGAGAAACCCAGCATTACAGACACAGGAGGCAACCCCAGGTGCAGACAGACAATAGCGCACAGCACCACACAACACCACAGAGCACCACACAGAATCACATAGTACCGCACAGAACCACATACCAGTGCATGTGGTGCCGTCAGGTTGCAGCAGAAACCCAGCGTTACAAACACAGGAGGCAACCCCAGCACTATCCTCCATGCACGTGCCGTTGCCTCCACAGCTCTTGGTTGCACATGACTCTGTGAGGGAAAGAGAGTAAAGGGAATTCCGGGATGGTTTTCTTCACAGGCGTCTCAAAAACCACTCCGCTAATGTCCGCAACGCACGTGCCGTTGCCTCCACAGCTCTTGGTTGCACATGAATCTGTGAGGGAAAGAGATAGAATATTCTACAGGATGAAATTTCGCTTTGGGTGTATGTGCACTTGGTGTGGTGTGGTATGACATTGCAGCAGCAGCAGCGCGGGTGACATGTGACATGTGAGCAGAACGGGAGTTTGCTGAGGTGCCTCAAAAGAGATTGTTGTAGTAGTAGCCAGCAGCGGGTGACATGCGACACATGTGAGAAGAACGGGAGTCATAACTACAAGATTGCAGGAGGGAATTGGGCAGTTTGAAGTGCACTTAAACAAGATCGGTGAAAAGGTGACTTTTGCGTCGACAAAAAAGTCACGCCGCTACAGTAAGAACATTGCAGGTGGGACCTGTGCGGTCTGAAGTGCACTTGCGATCATGAGAGCTGTGAAAGCAGCCGTACTCACCAACCAACACAGCAGCACTTTTGAGACGTCTCAAAAGGAAACTGTGTTGTAACCTGTTTGACGTGCAATGTGAGAAACTGTGCTGTTTGACGTGCACTTGCAATAACAAGAAATTTGGAAAGCAGCAGCACCCACCAACACAGCCAGAACTCACCAGCAGCAACGCAGCTGAAGGAGCTGTACGGATATCCGAAATAATAGCTGTAGGCGAGGAAAAAGAACACACAAACAGGCAGGCAGTGATGAAATTAGTTTTGAGGCGCCTAACAAACAGACTCTAAAAAAATAAGAGTTGTAGGAATATTCAAAATATTAGCCGTGGGAGAGGAAAACGCGCACTCAAGCAAGCGAGCAGTAAGGAAACGGATACAGAGAATAACCCAAGGATCCATGCGTGCCCGAATGCACAGACCATCAAGCCGATTGGATAAGGAACGACTTGTTTGACCAACCAAACGGTTTGATCATATTCTGAAGGAAACCAGAAAAACGCCCTTCCATGTCGATTTCATTTCAACATGTGTGCCGTTTAAAGGAAAATCATATTTTTCCATGTGTGATGTGGGTCATGTGTGCGTGCGCACTCCTTCTCACACCCACCCGCCTCACTCACACCCACCTCTCACTCACACCCACCCGCCCCTCTCACATCCATCCGCCCCTCTCACACCCATCCGCCCTCTCACACCCATCCGCCCCTCTCACTCACACCCACCGCCTCTCACTCGCACCCACCCTCCTCTCACTCGCACCCGCCCTCCTATCACTCGCACCCACCCTCCTCTCTCTCACACCCATCCACCACTCTCACACCCATCCGCCTCTCACTCACACCCACCTGCCTCTCACTCGCACCCACCCTTCTCTCACTCGCACCCACCCTCTTCTCACTCACACCCACCCGGCCCTCTCACACCCTTCTTCCCGAACTAAACCATCAACTCACATCGACCCGCCCGTTTTATTAACTGGAGGGCGAAGCGCCGTCTTGGGACCAAACCCTAAGCCGCTCCAGGGAACGTGTACACAGCAGCAGCACACCCCTCCTGCCCCTCCAGATTCTTACATCACCCTGTTTCATTCACACCACCATGCCCACAAGAAACCATCAACTCACTCACATCGCCCTGCCCGTTCCATTAGCCGGAGGGCGAAGCACTCCAGGAGTATGAATGCATACACAGCAGCAGCACAAACCCCCTGCTTCTCCTGATTCTCAATCACTCGCCTCGCACCACCCCATCCTGCCCACAACAACCTATCGACGCACTCACATCGACCCGCCTGTTCCATTAACTGGAGGGCGAAGCGTTGTCTTGGGACCAATGCACCAGCTGCTCCACGGGAACGCGTACACAGCAGCACAGTCCCTCGCCCCCCCAGGCACCCTGTCCGCTCGCAGAATCGTTCGCGTGGCCTCAACGGTGATAGGAGGGAGGGTGGTGCAGGCGTTGAAGTTGAGTCGCATTGTGTAGGTGTTGAAAGTGACGGTGTAGTTGGTCTGATCGTAGGTGATGCTGGTGGAAGAGACGGTGGGGGTGGCGCCTGCAAGGGAGGGGAGAGGAGAGGAACACAGGGAGGTGGAACGTGAAGGGTGGCCAAGGAAAGGCTGTGACTCGCCCATAGGGTAACACGGGTGGATTGGGGTGGGCAGGGAGTAAGAAACGGGTACATATTCAGACATTGTTATAAACACCAGCGTTGGTCACAGCGAGACTACAAACAACATTGGGTCATGATGACTGGATTGCAAACAACATGGGGCTTACCGCTGATGCAGCCAGTGCTAGTCATGCCATAGCCGGGAGGGCACATGCAGTATGGAACGTTCCCAGAGGCAGTGGCAGTGCACGTGGCTCATGCAGGGCAGCCCCCACATGGGTCGATGCCTGGACAGATGGGAAGGAGAGAGAGAGAGGATGGATGAGATGAGGTGACTTTTGAGTCGACTCAAAAGTGGCAGCAACAGTGCATGTTGGTCCTGCAGGGCAGCCCCCACATGGGTCGATGCCTGGACAGATGGGAAGGAGAGAGAGAGAGGATGGATGAGATGAGGTGACTTTTGAGTCGACTCAAAAGTGGCAGCAACAGTGCATGTTGGTCCTGCAGGGCAGCCCCCACATGGGTCGATGCCTGGACAGATAGGGAAGAAGAGAGGATGGAGAGATGGAAAGGAAAGTGGAGGGAGTGTGGATTAGGAAGAAGGCAGTGGAGAACGATTTTGTCTTTTCTAGAACCCTTATGGTGGATTGGGAGTGTGAGGGATGAGAGCGAGGGGCTGTATAGTGATGGAGCTTGTTTTGTTTGTTGAAGCAAAGGAGTGGGTGATGTGATGCGAATGGGGTTATTTTGAGCACAGAGCAAAGCACAAAGTTGAGCCACACGCAACTCGCAAAAGGTCATTGTGGCCTCAAAGGTAGTGTATTTATCTTATCTGAATGAACACATACAAGGAGGGTGTACAGGATTGAATGAAATAAAGGCGTAGAAAACAGAAAAAGGGATGCATGCAGCAAAGGTCATCCTAACGTATTCATTCACTCAATCACTGTACGTCAGTCAATGCCACCTGCACGTCAGTCAATGCCACCTGTACGTCAGGTCAGTCAATGCCATGTGTGCGTCAATCAATACCACCTGTACGTACCCACACACGTGCCCAACACATTCCGATAGCCTGTCTTGCAAACACAGGAGGCCATGCCTGCACCGTCCTTCACACAATCAGAAACCGTAACGTTGCAGCCCTGACTGTCGCAGGTATCTGAGGGAAGGATGGAGGGGGGGGGGAGTGAGGAATGACTTTTGAGTTGACTCAAAAGTCAGCAGCGTCCTTCACGCACTCAGAAACTGTAGCGTCGCCGCCCTGAATGGCACAGGTATCTGAAGGGAAGGATGGAGGGGAGATGGAGGGAGAGGAACATGGCACCACATGGATGGTAGCACATGGATGGCACCACATGGATGGTAGCACATGGATGGTAGCACATGGATGGCACCACATGGATGGCACCACATGGATGGCACCACATGGATGGCACCACATGGATGGCACCACATGGATGGCACCACATGGATGGCACCACATGGATGGTAGCACATGGATGGCACCACATGGATGGCACCAAAGGCACACACATCGGATCAGGACAACTGCTCACATTTCGCCTTGAAGACGCCTCAAACCGGGCCAAGAAGAGCATACAAGAAACTAAAAAAAGAACGGGTGTTAGCGTGAACAACGATTGGGAAGGATGTTGCTTTCATCTGGCCTCGAAAATTTAGAATGAACTTTTGGAAGGAGGTGGCTTTTGGAATAGACTTGGGAGTGGAAAGGGGGTTGGTGGGCGGGTGAGAATGGAGGGAGTTGATGAAGAGATGGGAAGGGGGAGAGGAGAGAAACAGAGGCAAGGCGAAGAACATAACAGCAGCACGTACCAGTGCACGTCTTGCCATCCGGCTGCAGCTCAAAGCCAGTGTAACACAGACAGGACGCCACTTTAGTAGTGCCAAACTTCATGCACCACCCGTTCACACCACAGGCCTTGAGTGCGCATGTGTCTGGGAGGGGGAAGAGAGTGAGGAAGGAGAATAACATGTGAACGGAGAGTGCTATTTCTTACAGAACTGGGGTTTCGGGTATAAGGATTGTCAGGAACAGAGGTTTGGCTTGCTTTGCCATGGAGCACAGCATAGGAACATGCCATAGGGGGGGTTGGAAGAGACGGGAGAAGGGGGGCCATAGGAGAAGCACAGCACAGCAGTACATGCCATCAGGATTCAGGAACACAGCTTGCACAAGTTTCAATCAAAGCATTGCAGCGCATACAAGCATAAGCACACAGCAGCAGGCACTAGTGCGCGCGCGCATCCTGTCATCAGTGCACCAGAACACATGGCAGCATGTGGAAGCACATGGCATGATGTCAGCATGTAGCAAGGCAAAGAACCCACCAGTGCACGTCCTGCCATCAGCCTGCAGGACGAAGCCAGAGTTACAAACACAGTACGCCACAGCATAGCAAATGGCACATGGCATGGCACATAGCAAATCACATGGCACATAGCAAATCACATGGCATTGAGTAGGCATGGCACAGCACCCACCAATGCACGTCCTGCCATCAGCCTGCAGCACAAAGCCAGCGCCACAAACACAGGACGCCACTCCAGCACTGTCCTTGATGCTCGTGGCGTTGCCTCCACACGCCTTGAAAAAGCATGTGTCTGGGTGGATGGGGGGCAGGGGGGCAAGGCAACCAAGGTTCCCGGTTGCAGCACTTACCAGCACATATGGCAGGGCACATGGCATAGCACAAGGCATGGCATAGCACAAGGCATGGCATGGCATAGAACATAGCTTAGCCCATACTGAATGGCATTGCCATGGCGATAACACATGGCACAGCGCAGTATTGGACGAGGCATTGTTCACATGGCATGGCATGGCATGGCATGGCACATACCGGTGCACGTGACGCCATCAGGCTGCAGCACGAAGCCAGTGTCACACACACAGGACGCCACTCCTGCAGCGCTCTTCACACACTTGGCGTTACTCCCACACTTCTTGAGCACACACGTGTCTGCCAAGGGAAAGGGTAGAAAGGCATGATAGTGAGTGGGGAAGGCAAGCCCTACTTAAAGAGTTAAGGAACGAAGCAGAGAGAGTGTAGAAGGTAGTAAGTGTTTGACGAATCGGCAAAAGAGGCAAAAAAATACATGCATTACGTGAGAGATAGCCTCGGGGAACTACATGACTGTCGCTTTGCAATCACACGTCGGCACACACGCACCAATGCATGTAGTCTTGTCAGCCTGCAGCACGAAGCCAGTATCACACACGCAGGATGCCACTCCTGCAGCGCTCTTCACGCACTCGGCGTTACTCCCACACTTCTTGAGCACACACGTGTATGCAAGAAAGGGGGAGGGGCAGAGGGGACAGTGAGTAGGAAGGGCAGCGTGCGTAAAGCAACAGCAATGGATGACATCGGCATAACGCACGGAACACCATAGGCATGAGCACCGGGTCAGTTGACTAATGAGTCGACTCAAAAGTCATCAGCATAACGCACGGAATACCATAGGCATGAGCACCGGGTCAGGTTGGCTGGGACAGTCAACCCAACCCAACCCGGAGTTTTCGCCTCAGGTCACTTCACTCTGGTAAGCTCAACCCGACCTGACCCGACCCGACCCTTCCAAGGTTCAAAATTACGACCGTATTTTTTATTTTTTACCATAAATTACGGTATCGTAAATTACGGTAAAAAACGGTCAATCATTGTAAATTCAAGCTGGTTTAAAGGTAAAAAACGGTCAATCATTGTAAATTCAAGTTGGTTTAAAAATACGGTCGTAAATTACGACCGAAATTTTGATACCGAGTTTGCAATAGCGAATTTCGACATTTCCCAACCGTCACCCTGGGTTTGAGACATTCGTGCAGCCAAATGCACACGTGTTTGTATTTTTCCCGAGTCGCGCATTTCAGGTGTTTCTCGAGGTGCGACATTTTGTTTTTTGGCGAACGTTGTGCTGCTCTGTCGCCCTTACGAAATGTCAGTTTGTGAATTTCGCCGACGCGCAAATGTACAAATTTCCGCGATGCGGTAATTTGTACATTTGGCGAACCGTTATCACCCGTCAACCCGTTTCGCCAGGTCGGTGGGACGATTCGCGGCCCCGTCGTTATTTTCGCCCGCGTGCGCGACACAACCCAATTTTGCGCTGCGAAACAATTTTAACCAATAGCATTAGTCCAATCTCCATCCCATCACATCCCATCCCTTTCGCCTTTTCCATTCGCCAAAGCAACACAACCAAGTCTTGCAAGGTACAAAGAGCAGGGCGATAAACCTACTCGACAAGTGCTTCTTAGTAGGCATTTTACAGCTTCAACCATCTGCTATATTCCACCATGGTTAGACCTTTCTCGGAGGTGTGGGAGCACGTGACGAAGGTTACATCTCATAGCGGCGTAGTCACCGCGACTTGCAGCTATTGCCCTGCTACCGTGACCCCAAATGCCACTCGTATTAGAGAGCACATCTACGGGACCCCTCGTTCAAGGGAGAAGAACGTGACGCCGTGTCCGTCCGAGTTTGCCGGCTTCGTGAAGCCGCCGAGAGGGATCGGTCTTCCACACCCTCCAGTTCCAACCGTGCCTCTGGCTCTACCTCCACCACGGTCGAGATGCAGCCCGCAAGACGTTCTAGGCAGCGGGACATCCGCGATATTGCGGATACCGTTGCCCGCGCGCGTTTGGACTACCTGTGGGCGGCAGTTGTGGCAGAGAATGATCTAGCCTTCAACGTCTCCAAATCGCGTGCGCTACAAGCCTTCGTTGACGCGGCGGTCGTGTTCGCGAAGCCCTACACACTCCCAACCCCTTACAAGGTGTCCGGCTCTCTCCTCGACAAGCTAAGGGCGGACGCCGAGGAGCTTGTAAGGCCATTGAAGGAGAGTTGGAAGACGACCGGGTGCAGTCTCTCGGTGGACGGGTGGACGTGCATGAAGTCCCGCGGGATTGTGTGCGTCAT